ATACATATCTCTCAGACCTTAGAGGACTAAATACCCTAACTTTTTTTTAAAGGGAGGGACTTCATATCCTCCAAAGAGAATAGAGGATGGTTTTGCTATACCCCTCTCAGAATGGTCTCTTTTGAAGAAAAGAAATGTCAGATATCCCAGCTACTGTAGGAACGACAGAAGAAAACAGAGGGAAATAGTTTCATACCCTTTTTAGTAAAGCAAAATAACCTAACTTCTAGTTAGTATATCTTGCATAACATAGCATAGCATGAATTCAACAGTGATGGAGAGCCACATGTTAGTCCTTCATTAAGTCATTGATTGCTCATAAGGTTGTGATTGTTGCATGGCCACCATTTTTTAAAATCTCTTTGGATGTAGACGTTTCTTCAAATGACATCTATCATTCACCTCATTAAGTAAGCATTTTTATCCTGGGCTCATGGAGTAAAAGACAGAATAACACATTTCTGGTTCCTCTGACTCAAAACTTTTTCAAAGAAAATTTAGTAGCTAGTCTTCACACTTTCCAGTACACAGTTTTAGACTTAAGTGCTTGACTCATGAGGAGTCTGAACAAAGCTATATTTTAGACCTTTAGCATGCTGTGTACATTGTCACAGCCATAGTGCTATTACATTTGTTTAATGTAGACCTTAAGCATATATTTTAGACCTTTAGCTTGCTGTGCAGTGTTACAGCCATTGCGCTGTTACATATTTTTAGTTTTACTGCATCTTTCTGGGAAATTGGCCCTATACATTTTTTCTAACTTTTCTTCACAAAACAGTGCCTTTTTGTTTTTATCAACAGTGGTTTTTTGTTTTCCTTTTTTGGGGGCTTTTTTGTTGCTGAAGAACAAAACATTGGCCTGTCATTTTTAATAATGGTTCTATTAAGCTGCTTAAATGCTCTCTCTTTCCCAGCTTCAATTCTTCTGTCATTTACTATACTGCTTCTGTGTCATTTACTATACTGCTTGCTTCTGAGGACAAGGAAGAACTTTAATGTCAAGTGCAAGCATGGTGTGACCGGCTGGAGCAATTTGGTCTTCACCTCAACTTCAAAAAGATGGAGTACTTGGCGATCAATGAGGAAGAGACTGGTACCATCCAGGTGAATGGGGTGGATCTCCCAAAAGTCAATACCTTCAAGTATCTCACATCAACAATAACTTCAGATGGCAACCTTTTTGACCAAGTCACCACACGGACTAACATGGTTTAGATGAAATGGCACTTGGTAGCAGGTGTATTTTGCAACAAGAAAATGACTGATTATCTAAAATCTAAAATCTATTGAACTGTCGTAAGGTCTTCCCAATATATGGATCTGAATGTTGGCCGGTGTCGAAGGAAGCAGAACGCCACCTTGGTGTTATGGAGATGAGGATGCTGCGATTTACAGCTGGCATCACACGCCTTGACCACATCTACAATGATGACATTTGGCAACGCTTTGCATTGCTCCAATTGCTGACAAACTACAAGAATGACACCTCAAATGGTATGGTCATACTCTCCGAGGTGAAGACAAGTCCATCTGCAAAATTGGTCTTGATTTAGAAGTGCCTGGAAAGAGACCAAAGGGACAACCAAAGCAATGGTGGCTCGACACATTGCACTATGGCCTGAAGACTGCTGGGATACACCCTGATCAGGCTCACGACTGATGAAATGGGGTTAACAAACCAGTAAAGTGGACTCTGACATCAAGCAGGATAAATGCTGAAGAAGATTTACTATACTGCCTAAAGAACTATCTGTTTACCCGTGTATTTACAACAGTTGTACCCCAACCCTTTATCCAAGGATTTCAATTTAACATTCAGTTAATGCACTCTTTTATCTTTACTACAGTTCTGGCAAGTTGGTTAGGGTGGATTTCTTCATGAGTCTCTTGGTTCCTTCTCTAGCACTCTATACGAGACCATCTCAATCTAGTTTTACATTACATCTCCTCTCACTGTTGTCCACAATGATCATATTGGTTGAGAATTATGGGAGTTGTTGACTCCTTTAGCCATTACATCATTCTTTATTATTTCCCAATTCAAATTTTTATATATATATATATATATATATATATATATATATGCGTATGCGTATGCGTATGTGTATATGTATATGTATGTCCTGGATAGTAAAGGTACTTAGCTAAAAGGGAGAAAAGTGTGCTGACAGATAGGGAAGTGCCTGGGAAAATGTGAACGTACTCACACGAACTGGAGTCCTCCCCCTCTTCTCTTTCTTCCATCCAATTTATGGCAGTGGTAGAAGAAGGACTCTTTGACAAAAAAAAAAACTCAGTAGGTGCTGGCTAATGGCAAAAGGTTTTATTTTAGGGGTGTTTCAGATTTCCAGGTAAGAGAGGTGCAAACCTGGTTTAAATAAAATTTGTTGTTGGGGTGCGGGGACAGGAGGTCGTACAAAAAGGTAACAAAGAAGATATAGACTGGATCTACATTGCCATATACAGACAGTCCCCAAGTTAGGAGACTTCCTGTAGGTTTGTTCTTAAGTTGAATTTGTTACAAACAAGATAGGTTCTATAGGTTTGTTCTGTGCCCCTGTTCAGATTTCACCTCACTTTCTCTCCCTGTGGTAATTGGATTAGAAAATTGGCTTGCCATAGAAACAAGGATTGGTCAGAAAACTTCAGTGGAGACACCTTTTTCTCATGATAACTCTTTCAGGAGTGAATTTTCCTGCCGAGGGGTAGATTCACTCGTTTCCTGTTGTCTCACCCCCATTTGTAACTGTGAGTTGTTTGTAAGTCGGATATTTGTAACTGCCTGTAATCCAGTTCAAAGCAGATAATCTGGATTCAGAAACTGGATTATGTGGCAGTATAGATGGGGCGATCGTGACAAAAGTTTGTCAGATTTTCTGCACATTCACCCAGATATGCACTCACATCATATTCACACACATTTCCAATTTCTCAGGGAAGCTATTTCTCTGGAAGTAATTTCTCTGTAGCTATCTGCCTGTCAAAAAGCATTAGTCTTCTTACCATCCACTTCTAGGGACAGAGTTGAGTGTTATAACATCTGATGATTATGCTAAAGAGTACTAAAAGGACTGCTAAGCAATTTAAGAGATTCCTTATAGAAATCCCTGTCCCAAGCACCAAAGCACTTAATTTTCTAGGAATATCATGCTCTTGAAAGCTCTTCTGGTTCAGATAATTTACATGGGTTTTGAATACAGCTGATAACGTCTGTCCAGATACTATCAGTACAACTGTCTTTATGGACCTCTTTTTTGGGAACCAGAGCTAAAACACTTGGGAAAAATTGTCAATCCCCTGGGCATTTATTGACCTTTCAAATACCTTTATTATTATGTCTTCCCTACCGTCTACATCCCCCTAGTGATCAAGGATGTCTATCTTCTTAGAAGTATTCCTTTAGTACTTGCATCTGTGTTTCCCCATTCCACAGCATTGTAATCCATCCCCAAACAGGAGGCAACAAAGTGGATGCTACTTTTTCTTGGGAAGATTTAGAAAGAATCCCAGTGTGAGAAAAACATGAGAAAGATCATGCATTTTATTTTGAACCCATCTCAAACTCTGGACGATAGCAACGTCTTGAAATGCCAGTTGCCTAACTCTGGATTAGTCTATAAATTGTGATTGACTATATGTATTTTTTTGTAAATAATAATAATAATAAAGCCTGAAATGGGCACTCATCTTTTTTTCAGGTGGAAAAGGTATCATCATAGGAAGAGGAGGAGGGACAAATTAGTGATGAGGAGGGATAGGTTGGTAAAAAAGAGTTTTCCCATTTCATATTGAAATTACCATGGGTACAATAGCATGAGAAAGGAAAACTACAGATAAAATAAATCACCAAAGTTGAGGTGTTAAACGAGACTCTTAAAATGTCACTTGAAGATGTATGTGTTCAAAATGATTTTCATCCGTCTGTTTAGAGAAAAAGTCCCCAAGAGATCAATATATGAGGTCAATAACTAAGAAGATGAGCTCTCCCTGTAGGCTTACAGTCAAACTGAAATATCACTGCTTCAGGTCACACAGTTCTCACAATAGTCACATTTAATGAAACAGTTCAGTAAGAAGAGGATCCAGGTAAAGCTGATGTTCCATCAGATCTTACAGTGGAGGTGCTGCTTATTATCTATTCAAGTGAAATCATTTAAACTAGTATAATTAGCAAAATCAAATATAATAATATCCATCTACTTCTTTATCAACAATACAACATAGTTCATACATGCTTAAATATAATAGTTTGTCCCAATCATATTATACCTGTCGAATCAATGACAGATACAGAAATGTTGATGTACTAAATTCCCATAGATTTTGTCCTTCTACTTTAGGTGGAACTAACAAATAGATTAATACAGTTGAATTGGCTTATTCCATGAGAAAGTATGAAGTGAAAATGCAGCTTTGGTGGATGAATTTGGTGATGAACTATGAAAGCAGTTGTCTTCATTACTGCAAGGCTACAATAATTGCAGTTGGGTGTTCCGACTCTCTCTGCCATTGATGTTCACTAGATACATCTCCAAAGCTTTTACTTCTCACCTAAGAACCAGGACAGCGAGAACTCCATCCATACCTCGATCACTCTTAGGCCCCTTCCACACAGCTGAATAAAATCCCACATTTTCTGCTTTGAGCTGGAATATATGGCAGTGTGGACTCAGATGACCCAGTTCAAAGCAGATATCGGCCATGGTGGTCCACGCCTTGGTTACATTTAGACTGGATTACTGCAACATACTCTACGTGGGACTGCCTTTGCCTCTTTTATTTCAGAATGACTATTTATGAGAGATGAAGCAAAGAGCCAGCAGTTTATTGCCATCTTTTCCTCTTGTGTTTGGCAGTTGCTTAGAAACCTTGCAAATGCAGTACCAATATTATCACAGGTTTTATTCAAAGGAGATAAGTGATGTATGAACATTGCAGTTTATAAAATATTTAATAGTATTTTTCACTTTGTTTCTCTCTCTTTCTTTCTCTCATAGTAACCATGACAAATATTGGAGAAAAGGGTAAGTATTTATTTAGTTGGTTTGGTAGTTCATTGTATTCTGTTTGAATCCTAGGCAGACATTGACTAGACCAGTGGTTCTCAACCTGTGGCTCCCCAGGTGTTTTGACCTACTACTCCCAGAAATCCCAGCCAATTTACCAGCTGTTAGGATTTCTGGGAGTTGAAGGCCAAAATATCTAGGGACCCACAGGTTGAGAACCACTGGACTAGACCAAGATGGGCAGTTTCTTGTGGGCCATGGTCTGCACTGCCCCTCCCCAGAGCAGTATGGCTGGCAATATTTGACATTGCCATTAGCCAAAGTTCAAAGAATTACAGTTGCCACTGACTGGCTGTATCTGCAAGATTAGTAGAAATATACTGTGGTTGAGGAGGGAGGGAGAGGAAGGGTGGGAAAAATATAATCTACACCAGTGTAAATTAGCATAATGTCTTTAATATTTGTTGAATTACTCAGGATTTTTACGTGTAACACTTGGAATTTGGCTTATTGATTTGTGTTTATAACATAATATAATATGTTTAAAAAATACAGTTGCCACTGAGATTTATATAAACTGTTTTGGTTCTCTATGGTGCAGCAAAACAGGAAAGAAGTAATATAATAATTTTTTTTAAACTTTATTTATACCCCACCACCATCTCCCTGAAGGTACTCGTGGCGGCTCACAAAGGCAGTTCAAAGTACTACACATAAAACAAACAATACATAAGCCTATAAAACAACAACATAAATCTATAAACAATGAACACACATAAAACCCCATCTAATAAAATTATAAAAGTCAAAAAACGCAGTGGAACCTGCAAATAAAACTGGCTGTCTACAATTAACAATCCAAGGTGCTGGAATAAAGCAATCGCTGAGTCCTCAATTCTGACAATAAATTACACAAGGTCAAAGGCTTGTCTAAAAAGCCATGTTTTTAAATTAGCCCGAATCACTTGGAAAATGGGGGCTAACTTAATCTCTCTAGGGAGGGTATTCCAGACCCGGGGGACTACCACCGAGAAGGTCCTATTTCTCAACCCCACCAACTGTGCTTGAGACAGTGGTCGGACCGAGAGAAGGGCCTCCCAGGCAGATCTCAAAGCCCACGCTAGTTCATAGAAGGCAGTGCGGTCTCAAAGATAGGTTGGACCCGAAGCGTCTAAGTAAAGGTAGGATCTGACCAAGCAGAAAGAAAAGAAAAATCAAAAGACTGGAAATAAGTGATGCTGATATTTATAAACATTTTAAGTGAATAAATTAAAAAACAACAAATATATAGATACATCCAATTACAGAGACAACAATTTATCAAAAGAATTACTATATATGGTTTGTTATAAATGCCAAATTTTTAAACACAATCTTGTGTATGTGAAAGTCTGCTTCAGAAAATGTCTGCACTTATTGAAGACTACTTTTTTTAAAAAATGTGGATGCATGTACGGTTTGAGAAATGTCAGACACGTTAAACCTTATCTTGTCGTCTTCAGCGGCTAATGTGGAAGTCCTGTATTTTGGGCAGTCTTGTGATTTTTTTAATACATCAGAGCCTGAAATAATAATTAAAATAATCAGTTTGACAAAAATACAGCTATTAAACAACTTCATTTCAAATCTCACCAAAACATCTATACTCTACTTTAACTGCCTTGTGCTTTCAACAGCTAAAGCCTTATGTCTTCTATTTTTATAGTCTCCAACCATAAGTAGACTAAATGTTCTCATTAATTACAACATACAACACGATATAAAAGGTCCCCATTTGAGCCCAAAATCTTGCAAATTCTTCTGTTTAGTGAGGAATTGAGCAGGCAGCCCCGTATTGCGTAGGATCTGACAGGCACATTAGGGCCGAGAGCACATAATGTTTATACTCAATCTTCCAAAAGCTAATTAAGGACCTTGATGTTCTGCTCTGCTGTTGCTCCTTTCTTCTTTTTTCCTCCTATTGGGAATAATGTTTTTCCTTCAGTATCTTTGGGTACATTTTTCAGCCTTCTGCAAATCCTATGATCAAGGGCGTTATTCCCCTTCAGGATATATAAAGTTATCTAAGCAGTTGGCCCTGTCATTCAAGAAAGAAAGAATTAAGCTTTCCCTGGCTTCTTAAACTTTCACTACCCAGAACAATACGTCAGTAAATCCAACTGTCCAGTCTGCAGGTAGGGCTAAGAAAGAATCCTAGGTGAAAATTGGCTTTGTTGATGTCAGTGATTGTCAGTAGTAGTGAACTGTGTGAAGACTGGAAATAAGGCCGCTCCATACGTTCTCCTATATCAGTTGTTACATTGAAATTTCCTCAGGACAGAGATCTATCTGTTGCTTTCTATGTGACCTTGATTACATCAGACCCATGCAACTAGGGACTCAATTATGGATGTTCTGGATAGAGGGCATGGATTCTAATCCATAAAATCGATGAGAACACTTTCTGATAGTGCTTACACAACCTCTTCAATTGCTTATGCTTTATTTTATAGTTCCGTTGATGTCTTGATAGCATTGTTTCTTATTGTGAAGACCTTAAGAATGTTTGGCTATTTTATGGGTTGTGTGTCTATCTGTCACACTACTACACAATTTCTGCCATTTGTCTAATAAATTAATTTATCTTGTTGTTGTTTTTGTTTTAGTGATGTGCCTGATAACATACCATATATTTATCGTGATGTTTTTGTGGTCTTACTGGAAAACAATCTTTACGTTACCAATGAATCCTTCCAAAGAAGTAAGTTATTATTGATATAAGAAAAGAAACTGCTAGTTAATTGTGTTTTCTGTATGTGAGTAAAAAACAACATATTGTACTGTATGATTTAATTCTAATTATCCCAATTATGTTGGTAGCAGTTGGCGACATATGATCTTTATGATTAATATAAAACATTTTATATCTAGGCAAATAAAACAACATTTAATAATACTGTGTTATTTCACATACTTAATGCCTTTTCTCTATATACTGCCTGCTCTGCTAATGCATAAGAGTGACATATACAAGAAAAATCAAACTTTTATGAGATAATGTGTTGCCGAAGGCTTTCATGGACAGAATCACTGGGTTGCTGTTAATTTTCCAGGCTGTATGGCCATGTTCCAGAAGCATTTTCTCCTGACATTCACCCACATCTATGGCAGACATCTTCAGATCTTGAAGGATCTATTGGAGACTAGGCAAGTGTGCTTTATATATCTGTGGTATGTCCAGGGTAGGAGAAAGAACTCTTGTCTGCTTGAGGCAAGTGTGAATGTTCCAGTTGGCCACCTGGATTAGCATTTCATGGTCTTGCAACTTCAAAGCCTGGCTGATTGCTGCCTGGGGGAATCTTTGGTTTGGAGGTGTTAGCTGTCTCTGATTGATTCTTGTCTGGAATTCCCCTGCTTTTTGAGTGTTGTTCTTTATTTACTGTCCTGATTTTAGAGTTCTTTAATACTGGTAGCCAGATTTTGTTCATTTTCATGGTTTCCATTTTCATGTTGAAATTGTCTACATGCTTGTGGATTTCAGTGGCTTTTCTGTGTAGTCTGACAGTTGTTAGAGTGGTCCACGATTTCTGTGTTCTAAAATAATATGTTGTGACCAGGTGCTCTGCTATGGCTGACTTCTCATGTTGAATTAGTCTGCAGTGCCTTTCATGTTCCTTGATTCATGTTTGGGCAATACTGCATTTGATGGTCCCTATGGAGACTTGTCCACCATGCATGGTATACGGTGGACTTCTGCAGAGGTGAGAGGATCCCTCTTGTCCTTTGCTGAACGTAGCATTTGTTGGATTTTCTTAGTGGGTCCGTAGATAGTTTGTACGTTGTGTTTCTTCATCAGCTTCTCTATGCAGTCAGTGGTTTCCTTGATGTATGGTAAAAACACCTTTCCTCTGGGTGGATCTATGAGATAATTTGGATTGTGCCATTGAGCAACCCCTATGGTTAGCTGATTTTGCTCTCTGAATGAATATGTGCAGTTTAATGGTAACATTTTTCTGTCTTGATTTACTAAGAGCAAGAACCATGAGATGACCACAAATCTTAAAGAAAATACATTTTTTTAAAATCCTCCCAAAAACGTCGTTCTCATTGTTAAGTTCCTCTGGAAAAATTAGCTGCAGACGTCATTTCCCAGGCTGTAATCTCAGTCAGATTGCTGACAGAGTACAAAGTAGGTGTTTGAGGTCATATTCAGTTGTTCTTGATCGGCAATTAAGATATTGTAAATCCATCTTATGATGTTGTGACTGCTCAACAGGATACCTGCCAATATTTCTTAAGGGATAGCCTTCAACTTTCTAGTTAATTTAATTTAACAGTAAGGAAACAATTAGCTATTTTCTTGAAATTGTGCAAGCATTGAAAGCCTGTCTGGTAAAAAATATAACTGGTATGAAATTGCACAATTTGGTACGGGCAGTCCTCAAGTAAGAATAAGACAGGTTCTGTAGGTTTGTTTCTGTCCCTGTGATCATTGGATTTTGGAAAATTTGGCTTGTCGTGGAGATAAAGCTTCAGTGGAGACACCTTTTTCCCATGATAACTCTTTTAGGAGTGAATTTCCCTTCCTAGGGGTAAATTTTTGTCACTTCCTCTTGCCCATTCTTAACTATGAGTCGTTTGTAAGTCAGATGGGGACTTCCAATATATTGTATTTTTAAAAATCTGTGATTTGTCTTTGTGATCTCTGAAACTCACACATATAGGTACATTGCTGATAAGATGCTTCTAGAGTAGTTTTCCCCAAGCTCTGGTCTTGCAGATGTTTTGAACTTTAGGTCCCAGAATCCCTGTTAATTGCCTAAGGCAGCTAAGACTTTTGGGAGTTGAAGTCTAAAATAGAGTTTGAGAATTACTGTAAGAGTTAGCTTTAGTATTCTGATGGAAACTTAGCCTCCACATAGCCAGCTTCCCACGTTCTTAGGCCCCTTCTACACTACTCTGTATCCCAGAATCTGATCCCAGATTATCTATCCCAGATTATCTGGCAGTGGAGACTCTTATAATCCAGTTCAAAGCAGATAACCTGGAATCAGATCCTGGGAAATAAGGACAGTGTAGAAGAGACCTCATATCCCTTCTGCCCACTTAATCAGACTCATCGTAAGAAGGAATCTCTGACTTTTGCTCTAGTGTTAACAGTTTTTGTTCAGAGTTCAATTTTTTTGTCATGTCCCTTCCTTTTTCATTATTTCTTTGGTTCTCTTCATCATCCAGTCTTCTCCGTCATTCATTCTCATTTTTCATCAGTTGCGTTCCCCCCCCCCCCCCCCATTGGCACTTATAGTTTCTAGGTAATAATTTTCAAAGAGTGTTATCAGTGGTCATGTACAGAGAGTTCCACTAATTAATTAGAATCCTGTCTGGTTAGAAATGGGGTGATGCATCTCAAAGCCTTTATGCTAAAGGACTGTGATAGGAAAGCCATTATAATTTCCTATTGCTTCTGCTGTTATTATGATTTATTGGTACTTACTCATGTAAATGATAGAAAAATATTAAATGTGTGAGGTTGATTTCAGGCTCATAGCATAGCATAAGCAAAACAAGAAATAAGAGGATAATCCCACCAAGCCCCACTGCTGAAGAAATGAACAAGGTTGATACTGGTTTCTCAGACTTGTCTCTGAGAGCCCTTCCAGACAGACCCTATATCCCAGAATCTGATCCCAGGTTTCTGCTTTAAACTGGATTATATGAGTCTGCACTGTCAGATAATCTTGGATTAACAGAAAACCTGGGATCATCAGATCCAGGGATATAGGCCTGTCTGGAAGGGCCCTCAGATACCATTTAAGGATAGCAGGAAACATGGCTAAGAAGCAAGACCATGGCAGTATGGACTTCTCAGAGCCTTCTCTTTCCAGAAGTAAAGTTATGATATCACTGGAGAAGAAACACATACATTAGATAGTACAATGTCCAGGTGCATAACATGGATGCTAGCAATATCTTCCTGATTTTGCTTTCTTTAAGAGGTGAAGGGTTGGCTTTCTCTTTACTTTGTATGTTAGTATTGTGTCAGCTTATCTCCTTACCTGTGGCTTACGGCTGTTTTCCATGCAATTAGCATTTTTGTTGGGCGTTACTTTAGAGCAGGAGTCCTCAAACTTTTTAAACAGAGGGCCAGGTCATAGCCCCTCATACTGTTGGAGGGCCAGATTATAATTTGGAAAAAAAATGAATGAATTCCTATGCACACTGCACATATCTTATTTGTAGTGCAAAAAAAGCACTTAAAAACAATACAATAATTAAAATGAAGAACAATTTTAACAAATATAAAATTAGCATTTCAATGGGAAGTGTGGGCCTGTTTTTGGCTGATGAGATAGGATAGTTGTTGTTGTTGTTATGTGCTTTCAAGTCATTTCCGATTTAGGTTGACTCTGAGCGAGGGCTGGGTAAATGATCTTGGAGGGCCGTATCTGAGGACCCCTGCCTTAGAGAGTGGAACAGATTGTATTTGTGCTTTAAGATGTAGGCCACTCTTCCTGAAATTTCATGTGGATAGAACAGTTCTCTGCTCAGACCTTACTTTATGCAAAGGGTTAAGGATAGTTAGTCCTGCCTGTTCTTTTTCCAGTTTTCTAATAAACCCAAGGAAAGACAGCTTTACATGATAGAGAGGTGTTATTCCTCAAGGTATGCAGAGTGATAACATGGTTTCAACCTCTGGTGGGTTTTTTTCTTTACATTATTCTTTGTATGTCAAGCCTAGAAAGTGAATGATACTATGCAGAGTTTTGATATTTTCCATTCTGCAGTAACATTTTTACCTCCTCTTGTGAGTGCTGCTTGCTCATCTCCCCTTATGTGTAAGACACAGAGACCACAAAGCAGAAGAGATTGTTTCTTTGGATGGTCATCTGGAAGAAAAACAAACCTTCCTTCCTCTGCGAAGGATGTTTTATTTATGAGAATTTCCTGGTTCTTCTGTCAATGAGGTTATTGAGGAACTGAGAGCTTTTAGGGCGGGGGGGGG